CCTTCCGGGCCCCGCCGGCCCCGGGCCCCGCCGGGCAGCGGCTGCCGCGCTGCTGCCCCCTACAGCAGAGCCCCCGCCGGGCGCCGCGCCTCGCCCGGGCCCGCTCTCCCTTCGCGGACCCCGGAGGGCTCCTCCGGGGAAGCGGGGTTCGGCCCCGTCCCGTCGCCCCCTTCCCCAGCCGCCCCACAGCGTGTGGCAGTGCCCGCAGCCGGCCCGGCGCTGCCCTCCGCCTCCCGGACAGGAGCGGGGACGCGCCCCGGGGGTCGCTCGTTGGCCCGAGTGCCGACAAATCACTGAGGTGAATTGAGTCGTTCTCCGGGAGCCTGTCCGCTCTCCCTTGGGGGCAGGAGCCAGGCGGTGGGACGGCATCTCCTTGGCTGTGCTGTGAATTTCGTCTCAAATAATCACCTGAGGAAGAGCCCAGAAATCAGGGGTCAGAGCCCAGAACCGTGGCTCTGGTTGCTCAAGCCCTTGCCCCGGACAAGGCAGTCCTTCTCTGTTAATTTTGCATTATTTGCTACTTGGTGGCACTGCGAGAACAGAAATAGTGAAGATTCCTTCCAGCACAGGTCTGGCGGTTGAGGCGCTCACCTGCGTTGACAAGGCATGGATCCAGGCAGAGAAAGAGTGCACCAGTTTCTCAGTACGTGGCCCATCCACACAGCCAAAGGCTTTTACACCTTTTTCAAACTGTGTCGATAAAGTTTCCCTAAACTTTTAAAGTTCCCAGCGAAAGAAAGTCCTGTGCCATGAATTTAAGCATGCTCTGAAGGGAGGTTTGTTTTTGCTAGCTTTCACAGGCATATCTGGCTACAAGTTGAGCAGCACCATCCTCTAACAACAAAAAAACGGCTGCTACGTCTTCTTTAAAAATGGCTTCTGCGTCCTTTAGTCAGGGTTTTTAATCTGTGCTGTGGATTGGGCTCCGAAGGTGAGAGATGCACTGGCAGTTGTAGATGTAACAGGGTTGTGGGCACTTAATGTCCTGATGCTGAATATTCATTCAGATTCCTGGGAGTTAGCAGGGGTTTTATGGGTCGCACTACAACCTGAGAACATAAGGAATGCTGTAACAGGGCATACCAAATACCCAGCCAATGGACCAGGCAAGATTAGAGGAGTGAGGCAGCCGCACGGTAATCCTTCCCTGGCTCACCTTCCCAGCCTCCAGAGCAATCCTTCCCTGGCTCACCTTCCCAGCCTCTGGAGCGCTGCAGCTCAGGAATTCCTGAAGTCAGCTGTGTTGATACATGTGGGTGCCTGCGCTTTCTCAGATCCCCAGTTTGAAGACATTGGGTGAGGGATTTAGTGTCCTATTTGGGAAATGTGAAATAGCACTGTAACTGTAGTATGTGAGCTGTGCTGTGTAGTGCTAGTCCAGCAAATACAAAGACACTATGGAAACGCGTCACCAGCTGGTGAGCTGGGACTAACAGTGGTGAGGATTGCAGCCGTCGAGGAAACAGAGAAGCTGCCGTCTTTTTTTTTTCTTTCTTTTTTTTTTTTTTTTTGTTTTTTTTTGGTTTTGTTTGGGGTTTTTTTGGTTTTTTTTTTCTCCTAGCAAGGAGGCTGAAAGAGACAGGGAAAAAACTTCATGTGAAAGAGAAATGAGAGACAGGAGGCGCCTCACAGGTACTTCTAGTTCCTCTATTGTAAGCCGCCAGGAGGTTATAAAAAAATAAAGCAACTCTTGGAGAAGAGGTTTTCCAAGAGGAAGGGAGTACTGGATATCCAGCCAGAGAGGCAATCAAAGATCTAGTGCTATCACAAGTACTTTAAATTAGTTGACCAGAAGTCTGACACGGGTCCTATGCTCTTGGTTCCTCCACTGTGTTGTTGCTAGTTGTTGTAAAAGATAGATTTGCTGGAAAATTTACAAGGGAAAGGGAAGTTTTCTGTGGTAGACAGGTGTCCTGAAAAGACAGATCAGTTCCTTGATCCGGTTAGTCATGTGTCCCCAGGGGCACTGCTATTGGCACAAAGCGGTAACAAAGATGTGTAGCTAAGACTGTGGAACTATGCTTTCCATGGAAACCCATGCTTATACTGAAAATATCAGAGTGGTATGGGACTATAATGTCTGCCACTTTATTGAGATCACCTTGGCTACCTGAGGTCACATCACATCAATTCCCTCCAGTTTGTAAGAGGGCTCTAAAGTACAGCAGGGGGATCTTAACATCCACTTTATATGAAACAAGGCTGGTACATATTGGCATTTAATAGCACCTTTTTGGCAAAAAAAAAAAAAGTGAAAGTCTAAAGTATTTTTTAAAATTTTCAATATCAAAAATATTTTTCCATATTACAGGGTTTGATGTTTGTCAAAGAAGAGACGTTGCACAGAAACAAGCACAAGCAAGTAAAGATTTTACGTCTATTGAAGATGCTGAAACTTCTGAATTTTAGTGTACTTCAGAGTCTTCATAAAAAGTTTTTGATTATTAAGCTCCTATCCAAATCATAAGAGTGTCAGGATATGAATAGGGAGGTTTATTTGTTAGCATATGCATTAAGTGACTTTTTTCTTTGTATTACTTCTATTTTCTTCCCTGTACTTGAATTAATTTTTTCCAGACTACATTACATTTTGTATCTAATTAAGGCTGTGATTGTTTTGGTAGAGACAGCATATTGCAGTTTCCCAAATTTTAATAAATTCTTTTAACTGAATAATAAATGACATTTAAAGGAATTATTTTTAATAGACTTTGGTACAGCATTTTCAATACGTCTTCTGGGTCTTGTTTTAATTTTCAGTCTTCATTGTCTTTCCCTATAGATTCACTTCTTCATTGATTTAACAATGCTCTATTTACTTATGCTAGTTTCTTAAATGCTGTGGTTGTAATTTCTATGGAATCCTCTGTTAATTGTGTTCATAGTTCCGTAATGGTATGCAAACATTTTCTCCTGTTGTGATGTTGCCAGGAAAGCCTGTTCCAGGTTTGACTATAATTGTCCACCTTACAATGGAAATACACAGGTTTTTTTACCTACAGTTTTCATTACTCCAGTCCATACCTATCTTGAGGTGACACTTCCAACACTAAACACATTTCCAACAGCTGAAGAGTGAAAACCTTATTACTAGGCAATATTACAACTTCATTTTCTTGCTATGGAGCTCCATTGCTTGTAGATCTCTATCCTGACGCTCTTCAAAGCTTCAGTTTAGAGTATTCTTTTTCCTCATCAGCAAGCTTTTTAAAAATAACTATATTTTCATAAGATAATTATAGTATTAGAGAGTTAGTCTATCAGCAAGATGAACCTTCTTCCGTATAGAGTAAGAATGAATATCAACTAGTTCCTTCAGAAATATGTGAAAACTTCATTTCTTCTACTCTGCTTCCAGTAATCTCCATTCCCACACACCCATAGGCAGCTAAACAAAGAAATTAGAAATCACACTGCTCCTAGAGTCAGATTTGAGGTAACTTTGAGGATACGTGTGAAAGGTGTTCCTAGCAAAATATACTTTGATTTCTGAGCGTGACACTGTTACCTGTTTGTAAGTCTCAGTATGTGTAGCTCTAATCAACCAACACACTATGTTCAAGTCAAACAAAAAGGTATTTCTTTGTGATGGCTAGAGTTTATGGATAGTCTGCTATTAAGAAGTATTGCTATAGGAACTCATCTCTCTCTTGCCATTATAGCAAGTGGTTTTTATTAGCGTGGACAGCTCTCACTTTATGTTCATCACTAGGTCTTTATAGCCTATGAATATATCACTTAATTTCTTTATGCTCTGAGGTATTTCTGTTCATTTCTCGTAAATGAGCAAATAAACCTTCTAACTCCTGTCTCCCAATATTCGTAATCTGAGGGGGTTTTCTTTCTGGCTGCTCAAACCGCTGACACAGTAGGCGTTGTCTGTGGGTGGCCAGGAACGTGCTAGATAGACAAGTATTTTAAACTGAATTACAGTGTAGTAGATAGCCAAGTCTGAGGTACTGGGGTTTTCCTAGCCACTGCCATAGACAAAAGCAGCTTTGCAGCAATGGGTTTTGCTGTCCTAAAAGTTATAGACAGCTGATTCTTGTCATGTTTTGGTATGCTTTGATAACAAGAAGTAAATGTCCCATGAAATAAACTGAACAAAGCACAATCTGTGGGAATTTCCATATTTTTTACATTTTTCTGTTCTGTTAATTGCTTCCAGACATTATTAAGGAATTGATTTTGAATATGGTTTGTTGATATCTTTGTCCATTTCTAGCCCTTATTCTGATCTGGTAAATATGTAGATCTGGTACATATGGTAAATAGACAGATGATAGAGATAGATGACAGAGATAGATGGTATCTCTACATTCTTTATGCACAGCTTAACAGACAATATTATGGTCAAATTATTTCAAGCTCTCAGTGATTTTTAAATTATGAAATTTCTCAAATTTTGTTTGTTCTTTTGTATACTTATCCTAATAGTAATGATTAACTAATAAGTAAATACAAAATCATTGTGCAGAATGATTTGTAATCCAGCCACCCTTTCAGCCACTCTTTTCAGATTTTCTGTTCTGCCTCCATGTAAATGCATTTCTGAAGTGCAATAAACAGTACAAGTATCCCTGCAATTCTCAATTTTGCCTTTTCTCGCAATGTGGGAAAAATGATTTTAATTATTTAAAACTTATGTTTGCTTTGTCAGTTATTGATGACAAGTTCTAAGAAGTTTCCTTCTGTGTAGAGTGTAGAAGAGCTTTTTAGTAATTGTCTTACATGATGTTCAAAGTGATTCTTGGGTCAAAGAAAGCAAGAAAAACTTCGTAAAGACCTGGACAGATCCTTTGGAATAATTTGTAAGTCACAATTTCCATTTTAAGCTATAAGGACTGCGTTAATGCATGTGGGCCTTCTTCCCAGACCATTATAGGCCTGACCATAAATACCAAGATTTTAAATTTGACCAGATTCTAGAGGAAGACTGCACAGGAAACAGAAGCAGGACATGACCTGCTCCAGGAGGGCAAGTGGCTAATGAGCTGCACTAATTATTTATAGCAAGGTGTATTACATTGCTGTAGCCGAGATTGAAGATGATAACAAAGCAGTAACTGAAGCCACATTATCATCTACTTTGACAGGAATGAAGTCTTCTTGCCACCAAGAAGCAGCTCCACTTAAATAATGTTTATATTTAAAATGAACACACTGTATTGGAAAAAAACTCCAAGACTAACATGAGCTGCTGCTTGTGTTGATGTAAAACCTTCCTCTGGATCTCAATCTAGAAAAAATTGTTCCAATACCCTTTTATAAATTATTTCTTTAAGAGACTGGGTACATTTGATATTTTTAAGCAGCCTGTCCTTTCATGTTTTCATGTCAATTAGGGCTACTCTACCTTCCATTCCATT